TGGCGGGTAAAGGACAACATTTTTTAGCATGAGAGATACTAAAATTAGTAAGAAGCACAGCTCCTATGTCCAAGGAGCTTATAATCTATAGTGAGGACACAGAAACAAATCACTATAATAGATAATATATGACAAGAAATGATACAAGAAAAGAGCCCTAGAATTCCCAGGAGAAAAAGACTGCACTGGGTTGGCTTTTTAGAGGAATTTCAAGTGCGCTTGAAATCTATAGACAGATGAGAGAGAGCAGAGGAGCGTGTTCAGAGAAGAGTCCAAAACCCAAAGGCAGGGACTCGCAAGCCCTCAGAGAAAAGTATGAACTGTTCAAATTGGCTCCTTGAGGCTGTATGTTGGGGGATGCTGTACAGGAAATGTGGAGGGAGGTCAGGCAGGTCCAGGTCATGCAGTACCTAGAATGTCCAGCAAGGCGTTGACGGCCACACAGGAGCACCAAGCGCAAAGGCAGGCTTGTTCTGGACTGTGTGCCTTGTGGAAGAGAAAGCCAAGATACACCAGAACAGTTCAAGTGAGCACTATCACAGATTTCAAGTAAGATGATGAGAAAAATTATGTAGAATATGTCAGAGAGAAATAATTAACCAGAGTTGATTATTGAGTAGAAAAGAAGGTTAAAAAAAAAAAAAAGCAGATAAGAGTTAATTCTCATTCTGAAACTTTCACCCTGAGTTGCCAGATCACAGCCATCATTAAAAGACAGAGCAGCTTAGAGATGAGGTATTGCTTTATAAAGGAAATCTGGGATATTTTTGGAAAATGTTCAGGAGGAGGTGACTCGGGTCACCTGAATGGAGACATGTGATTAAGCATTAGCAATTGAGATGAGTGCTTCTAAACACAAGGCGGGGCTGGAGAGATGGGTGTGAGCGGCACATCCAAAATACTGACAGCTATGGGTGAGGTGACCAAGGCAAAGATGAAGTGCACACATTCCGAGAGCTCTGTAGGGAGCTCAGATGTGCAGGCCTCAGGCAGATGGAGAGTATCACAGTGAACAGCACCAGGGGCAGGAGCTCCTTAAAACGCAGAAGGCTTTCTGGACGCACGTAGCCTGCCTCCCCAGAACACCTTCTGCAACCTGTCTCCACGTTTCCAAATACACTCGCTGAGAAAGTCCCTGAACACCCTGATGGGGAGTTAGCCCTCAACTCTGTGCCACTGTCTAGGCTCTGAGAATGCTCTTCCTGTGCCCTGATTACTTACACAGATGTCAGCCTCCGCCTCACCCCACTTCCCCTGTCAGTCTACCATTTCTCTTCACCAGGAGAAAGGGTCTCTTTTTCACTTCTCTTTTCAAATTCTTTGCCTCATGATTTCTGCTCTTTGTCAACCTCACAGAGAAAACATAGCAATATATTTGAACAGAGGAAGAGGAGGACAGATTGGAAAAGACAGCTGTAAATGCCATATTCATCAAGTTCCTTGATAGATAATTTCTGTGTCTTGAGCACCCAATAATGTAGGCACTATTCAGAACATACAATAAAATAAGATCTTCCACATAAATCATTCTATTCTTGGGTGAGAGGATCTACTTGTATTAATGATTAATTCATGGAACACAGTCTTATTTTCCTTCCACATGTACACCTGAAGGTTTTGACTAAGTAACACCCACATACCCGCTGGGAAAATCAAATCTACACCATTACTGATTAATTTGACAAATAAGTACACTTCAGGCTGTAGATATCACCAACACTAAATTCTACATTAATTATTTTTCTCTTTAAGACTCTATCATCTAAAGCACATCTAGGAACTTTTCCAATCTTTGAAAACTATTAAAGAATTATGAGTTACCTACTGGCTTAGACCTATGCTTTTAAATTTAGGTTTTTAAGGTAAAAATTACTCCCCCCAGCAGTGTAAATCGTGAAGGCTATGTGGGTCACTAACTGCTGGAATTTGAATTTTATTTGAAGTCCTAAGTGGGCAAACCTCATCACCTTCCAATCATGAACTTGGAGAAGAGAAGGCGGAGCTGCTTCCAGCAGATGCAAAGAAGAGAAAGGGCCGCGGTGCACTAATCCTGAGGAACTGTGGCTACTTGTCAGCAACTGCAAAGGGGCAGCTTACACCCACACAGCGCACTTCTTAACAGTAAGAGCTGCCAACCTCTAAGGCAGCTTCTTCTGTGAACACAGTGCTCTTCAGCACCTTCGCTCATTCACGGCAGGGCAGGTTGACAACCTGGAAAGCGGGGAAGACTTGGGGCTACAGCCTGTCAAACAGCTCTGCCTTCAAGACTTGCTTTATTAGTAGAAAGGAAAGACATATAAATCATGGATATGTCCTCCCCATACAGGGCAGCTTCAAGAAAAAAGCAGCTGAGCCCTGGACACCCATACTCATCTCAGTTTGCTCAGTTACAAAATGAAGGGTGACCTGACGGTAAGATACGTGGAAGTTCTAATGAACTATAAACATAATTCATTTCTCGGTGCTCATAAATCATTTCCCTATGTCTGTTCCATTTGCCAAAAATGTGTGGGAAAAGTAAAAAGACAAAGAAAAGCACCTGACTTAGAAAGCCTCTTCCTGGCAGGCTGAAATAATGGCACAGAGCCTGAGCTCAGGGTGGAGAGGAGTCCAGTCCACACAGAACAGCTAAGACCCAGATGGCCTCTGCCACCTAAACCTGGGAGGGTTGCACTAGGTCCCAGCTCCACATTTCTCACCACTTGTCCCTCAGGACCCAGGGAGACAAGACAGAATTCCAGTTGGGTCAAAATAGCCTAGGAAACAGTAATACATTCATAATTCATCACTTAGCACTGCCCCAAATATAGCACACAACACTCTGTGGGAACATTATTCAGAAGTGCATATTAGAATGAGCATCTTAAAGTGTGAATTACACATTTGTAAGTAGTTCTGTATTATATTCATGTGTCTGATTTTGAGACACCTACTGTGCTATAATTCCTAATGACAGTAATATTCCCAAAAATGAATCTTAGTGACCATAATGTCTGCATATAGTCAACTTGCCAAGAAGAAAACAAAAGAATCAAATCTTATCTCACATAGGCTGTTTCCACAAGCTGAACCAGCAAAGCTTTGCTACTAAGATATGATCTAAGAACATCCAGGTCTCTAAAGAGCTTCACATTGTACCTACACCTTGTCTCTCCACTACAGAATGGAAACAATTCTTCTTGACCTTAAATCTAACAATAACTTTAGTTCTAATGGTTTATGGTGCTCAGACATCAATTCAAGTACATGCAAGGTTTCTCTGTGATTTATTTGTAAAGAACAGATTTTGTTCATAGTAGGTGGCAAATAATTATAAATCAATTTTACCGTACTACTTTGAAAAACAGAAAACAATTCTGAAGAATAAATATCACTTTTAATATAAAGTATTGAAATAGGAGTCATTTTCTCAGGTACATAACAGGCCTTGTTCTCCTGGGTCTTCAAAGGGTCCCTAGCTAGTGTCCCTTAAAGTAGAGGTGAGAATACCCTAAGCACATCTAGAATTGTTCTGCGCGTACTTCTTAGTTCTGTTTTAACAGAAGCTGCTATTAGGAAGTCATAGCTTAACTCACTCTGAGGTTATTTACTTTTTCTAAGATACCAAATCTTAACGCTTTCTTTGGAAAGATACATACACTGAGAGTTTTGCATGTTTCCTCTAAAACAGAAATATGTCATTTGTTTTTTCTTTTTTTTTTGTACTAAAAATGATGACAAATTATTGCTCCTGTAGTTCAAAATCTTTGACTATGAATATGCATGCACATATACAAAAGCATGGTTTTCACACTTGCAAATGGCTTTATTTTTATGTTTCACATTTTGAGGCAGCTACTATGTAATGATATTATCCTAAATTATAGTGATATTCAAAAATGAATTCTATATGAAAGCAGATGTGAGCCATAGAATCTTCAGGAAACAAAGAAAGCAAAGAAAATGCCCTTCAAAACCACTTAGAACCACACCAAGATAAAGGAAAATGTAACACATGACATTCTAGAACAACTAGATAGACCAACATCTAGAACTGTAAAGGTACAAATGTTTTACACATCACATCTATAACCCCGAGAGAGGCCAGATAATAAACAAACCTGAGAAATGAAAGTGAAAAAAAAGCGTTTCCTGTTCTTTTCTCCCTTCCCTCTTCCCTTTCCCTCTCTTCCTCTCTCCCCCATTACTGCAGATCAACTCTATAACTCCTTCAAAGCAGCTCTCCACATGGAAAACTCTGGGTCTTTCCCAGCTCTCCAGTTCTTGATACCCAACATCGGAGAGTCATAGTTTCAGATCCATGAAAATGACTTTGACTCTGATGAGGCTACACTTAGTCAAATAATCAATCTCCAGACCTTTGGGACCCACAGCTGTTGTGATTTGCTTGGTGGGCTAGCGGCGCACACATTAAGATGCAGCCTAAAACATGTCTCAGGAAACAAGACCTGGAGAGACTTTGTTTCCACTATGGGAACCTAGTTGCCATACACTGAAAGACACTCAGCCACACTTACCCATTTTATCACTATTTAGATAAATTTAGAAGCTGGTTGAGTGCTCCGCCAATGTGAAGGCACTGGGAGAAATGATTCCATCAGCTAATAACTAACACCTAATATGTTTCATGATAGCACAATGTAGCATTGCCTTTCTTGGATCTTTGACTTCTTACCTAGAACCCATGAAGTAAAGGGCTTCTGGAATTAGTCCCCAAGTAAATCATTTTCTAGACTGTAAGACTGATATAATCATTTCCTGGTACATTAATTCCCTATGAGTAAGAAAAGGATAGTGCCAAATTGTCTGCTTTTCTTAAGTGGAAGATTAAAATGCAGTAATAACAATAACAAGAGTGTATCTGTATTCTTAACTAATCAGGCAAAGAAAACGACACCCAGGGACCCAGGCACACGGGTATGTCCTCAGCACACAGTCATGCCTGCCAGAGAATTGCTCAGGTGTGTGCCCACCCCACCTGCCCCACATGCCCCACTCACGGGTGACTGGCCGGCTCTCCTCAGGCTGGGCACTGTCCACAGATTGAGTACTGGAAACCGAAGAGACACTGGAGCTCCGGACAAAGCCAAATGCTGCCATCTTGGCAGCCGGAAGACGTGAGTACCCAGGAGGACGAAGCCCAGATTTGGGTAGATTGGATTTTGCAGCATTTGAACTGGAGGCTTTCTTTAAATCTGTCAAAATGAACCCAAAACAAAACAAAAATTCTCAGTTCACAGAAAGAGAATGCCACAGCAAGTAAATTCTAACCTAGCTCTATCATAAAGAGATGAAAATTATTGTACAGTTCATTTTTGCAAGTAAATCTATTTACAAGAAAGGCCCCTTACCATGGGCTGGGCTTCAAATAGCCCAGAAAGTGGAGGGGCAATTCCTGGCCTGGAGAATTAAGTAGTCTAATCAAGTAGTCTATAGCCTAATTACGTAGATACGTCAAGGACAGATAAATTACCCTACTACAAGGCTGAAGAAAAGGTATAGAGTGCTTAGGATACTGGATGAAAAGAGAATATTTAGTGTTGCAAGTCACCCTACATTGTGAATTACAATTCACCTGAAATTTTGACATATGATGAGCAACGAACCTTTGAAACACATACTCACTAGTGATTTCAATTGGCGGAAGTATTTATAGAAGCATGTATGAAGAATCATCCCACTGACCTTCTGAGGAGTGCAGGGATGAGGAGGGGCTCAACAGATTGAAATCTGAGTTCTCCCAACTATTCACCATATTTCCCCAAAGCCTTTGCCCTAACACTGAAAAACAGAGTTTCCTCCTGTAAATAATGATGACAAAACTGGTCTCAGAGATTTTGTGTCAAAACTTAACTACTGTTTTTACCACAGGACCTGACAGGTGCTCAAATTGATGTTACATTTTTCTCCTTCGCCCATTATCTGTTTTTATGCTAGTCAAACTTCAAACTTAGCTCCTAGATAAGTGAAAGCCAGCTTGTTTCAGGATGATATATATCAGGCCAAAAATCTGGCATGTTGACCAGGTATGGTGATGCATACCGGCAATCTCAGCACTCTAAGAGGCTGAGGCAGGAGGATAACAAATTTCAGCACCCCATGAGCAACTTAGACAGGCCCTGTTGCTGGGAAACAACATTTTGTTTTGTTTTGTTTTGTTTTTGGTTTTTCTCCGGTACCAGGAACAGAACTCACGACCTTGCGCTTGCCAGGCAGGCGCTTTGCCGCTGAGCTAAATCCCCAGCCCCTGAAACAACATTTTTTTAAAGAGCTATGGGATGTAACTCAGTGCAAAGGCCCTCGTTTCAGTTCTCAGTACTGTTCAGTCCATCAATCAATCTGGCATGTCGGCACCACCACAACTCGCCTGAGCGAGGACCCATCGACAGCTCAGTGATGATCATCACCTCAGTAGGAGGAGGTCTCAGGACCAGACTGGATTTTTGGAAGCTATCGACACACCACTGCTTTTTGTCAAAAATGTATAAGGTCCAACCTTCTTAATATTCTATATATTGCCTTCCTCCAATCATTTAACAACTTTTGCCTCTTTACCCTAAGTGGCCTGTACACAGAACATTCAGTAACATTCTTGGCTAAGCAAATCTTTATTATCTAGTAAGAGTCAGCAAATTTCAGGCTAAACATAATTTAAATAATGGCCCATTTATTTCAAAAAATCAATGAAGAAACTATGTATTAGAAAGTATGCATTTGTGGAAATACATAGAGAACTAGTACAGGCCATGCCAAGTCAGTGACAGTCTCCCCCCAATTCCCTCACCCTCTACCAGCAGCTCCCCCTGAAAGTGAGGCCATGGCCAGCTATCCAGATAAGGACAACCTGAACATGCACACGTGTAGTTTCCTGACTCAGGATAGGACGGGGAAGAAACAAGTGAGTACAGAAGGAAAAGGCAACCGCAGCTAGGGCTGCAAATATTCTCACCTCACATTTGTCCTAAGCTTGGAAAAAATGTGTATCTATGAAAAAGGAGAAACAATGCATGATTTAACATGTAGTAATGGCCCGTTAGTATCAGTAATTAATGTCATGTGTATTCTCTTCAAATTGTTCTCATATTACTCTGTAGACTTTAAGATAATGCCCCCCAATAGTGAAAGGGTGCCTGTATATCACATGGCATAAGTTCACATCAGACTGATTTTGGGTATCTATAGAGCTATAAAAGACCTGCTAAAAGTCAAATGTAATTTAGACAATAAATGTGCACTCAACCAATCATAGTTTTTCTTTACAAAAGGTTAAATATCCCTTCTCTAAAAAGTTTAAGACCCCACGTGTTTCAGAATTCAAAGTTTTTCAGATGTTTAAATATTTTCAGAGAACTGGCTCATGGATCCTAGTTTGAAAATCTGAAATCCAAAATCTAAAACTTTTTAGTATCATGTGAGTCCTCAAAGAGTTTCAGATTCTGGATTTTTTAATTAGGGATATATATGCAAGCAGAAAGTTATCTGTAACCTCCCTAAACTAGTTAAGCAGTAATTGACTTTATATACAAAAATTCAAATGTGAAAATATAATTTTTTAAATTTTATCTTAAAAATAAAAGAACAAAAACATATTAACAGACATCCATTTACAAAATAGCACAAGAACAATACAAACAATGAATTTCAGACAAGGTGACAAGAAGTTAACAATGGCTGTTGTATTACATATTGATATCTTCAAAGCGGTTACTCAGGAAAACAAATAGAGACATGCAATAATGATCAATTAACCACTAACTGTTCCTTTCAATAAAACAATAGAAGTTAGTAGTAGGACTGTGTTAGCTATCCTGTATATACATATGTACATAACTTTCCCCTTCTTTGTTTTCTCTTTTCCCTCACCCAAGTTGCTCTTTACTTTTAAGCAGTTTCCTTTCTTTTCACAATGTCTATCATACCTCCTAATTTTTATTCACTCTTTCAGGTTCTTACACTAGTGAAACAGTATGTTGCTTACACATGCAGGTCTGATTTATTTCACTTATGAGTATGGTCTCTAGCTGTGAGAAAATATAATTTTTTTCCTGTAAGTTAAACCCATATTTTGGGAAAGACAGAAAAGTCAGCCTTCTACCACTTTGGGATGTGGTAAGCATTCACCTGATATTTCTCAAAAAGTAAAACCTAAATTTGTTAAATCATTATAAAAGACTATACAGCCATTGAATGTATTCAAACACAAATTTATCTTATTCTACCCTTACTTATGTTCAATTATTGTTCATTCCATCAGTGGAAAGGAAGATGATATGGTTTGTGTCTAGATGTTCCCCCAAAGCCTCATGCAGTCATGGGGGATGGGCTTTTCAGAGTAGGTGGAATCTAGAATTTGTGACTGATTCATGGTCCAATGCTAGGATTAAGGGGGTCAGTGCTATACCTGCTCTAGGGTAGCTATATTATACACAGTGTAAGAGACAGAAAGAGGCTTGTCTCTCCTCCGTCCTTCCTCTTGTTGGTTTTGCTGTCTTCTGCCACCATGAACTGTTGTCTCTGTGTCATGCCACCCTGCCTTGGAGCCAGCTGATTACGGACTTAAATTTCTACAAACTATGAGCTAATAAGCTTTTCTTCCTTTAATTCTGGGCATCAGGTATTTTGTCTCAGCAACAAGAAAAGTAACTAAGACAGAAGGCATAAACATGTGGGGTGGTGAACAACACAGGATTCCAAGTTTTAGAAAATAGTCTCTGGGGCTAGGGATTTAGCCCAGCGGAACAGCGCCTGCCTGGCAACAGCAGTGTCTTGAGTTCAATTCCTGGTACCAGGAAAAAAAACAAAAGAAAAAAAAAAAGAAACTAGTCTCTGAACAATTGCATAGCTTTCTTCAGTCCCAGACCAGCACGTTTTAAAATAAAGGCATACAAAAGCAACCCTTTGTTTCCATGAGTTCCATGTCCACAGATTCAGCCCCCTGCAGATCAAAAATATCTGAGGGGAAAAAAATCACATCTGTACTGAACAAGTATGCACTTTTTTTCTTGTTATTATTTTCTAAACAATATAATAGCTAGTTACATAGCATTTACCCTGTACTAGCATTTATTTTGCATTAGGCATTATAAGTAACCTAGAGATGATTTAAAGTTCCCAGGTCACATGCATAGAGTATATACAAATATTACACCATTTTACACAGAGACTTGAGCATTCAGAGATTTTGGTATCTGATGGGGTGGGTAGGCTCCTAGAACCAATCCCCCATGGATACTGAAGGATGAATGTATTTCTTTCTCTCTCTCTTTCCCTTTCTCCTCTTGCCCTTCCCTCCCTCCCTTTCTCCTTCCGTTCCTCCCTCTGTCTCTTCCTCCCTTTTACTCTTCCATTAGAAAATGCCTGTAAGAGGGCCCAGATATAGGACCTTGCAGAGGAAGACTTCAAAAGCACTAGTGTATATAGAACAATGAGAGTTGGGAGACCACCCCAGCCCAGCCTCTTGAATTTGAACAACACCCCAGCGCCAGTCCTCCTTTCATTGTTTTGAGAGAAGCAGAAAATAAAATAACAAAAGCCCAGGAAATGTGTAAAGCTCCAGGCCAAAGCACATACATAGTAGACCTCAAGACCTGACCCTTCAGTAACCTTTTCCCCACTTGAATCTTATTAAAGGTTCATAAACACGGGCTGTATCTCATGTATGTAATTTAATCAGAATGAACACTGGGATACACATGTGTGTGTTGAAAGCCCCTAAGATGATTCAACACCTTGTCAATCACTCCTGTCAATATTCCCCAAGAGGCCCAGTGAGAAGCACCTGGGCTGAGCTGCACATCTTTAAAACTGGAAAGTTTGATTTATGTGTGTGCTTTTCATTTCCCTGTCAGTCAGACACCACTTTCTGTTCATGCCTCCCATGAGCACTTGTTCCCATTATCTTCAATAAATGCGACTGCTTTTTCCTCTACCACCGGGTGTACACTTGTAATCTTTTGCTTGTCATACACAAGAGTCTGGTGAATCCTCTACAAGGAAGTATCAGCACTATTATAAGGAACTAAGAAAACCGTACTTACAGAAATAAAAGGGGTATACTGGCAATGTTCTATCAAGAAGAAAATAACAATTAAAAAACATTAATTATAAAAATGTCAAACGGAAATTGAGAAGCTTTCAGTTAGATTAACTAATGGAAACAAAGACTCAAATTAGGAATGAAACAAGGAACATCACT